CTTCTCTCTGCACTGTGCGAATTTCGGTTCGAAATTGTGCCGCCCCAAAAAGGGACAACAGGAACCAGAAGAGAAAAAGAAGTCCGGATGTTCGGATCCCATATTTCTTGTTGTAGTAGACGAGTAAGCCTGTGAGCAACTGAAAAAAAAAGATAAATTTGTAAAAATATCAAATAAAGAAATTGTAGACGAGTATCAATGACAACGTAAAACAGAACAACAAAACGAATCAAAGGTCGGAATCTACTCTCACTAAAAAGCCAAAAACCATGACCTTTCATGGCTTGTTTCCAATATACGATGATTTTTTGCTTTTTTATTTACAATACCACAGCAGTGATGCATTTGAGTGAACAATTATAGATCAAAACTGGAGGATGATAGTAATTAGCATTGGTTGACGCTGTTAATTAGAAATTTACATCAATTTTTTTACATGATTCGTCTGGTTTCATTGTGAGTAAACAAAAATTATAATATAATAACAATCTCTATTTTTATCGAAAAGGCTTTTGACCAAATCGGTCTTTCTGCCCAACAATTTATATTTTTAGGGTAAAACTGCTTTTTCCAAAATCAATCAAACTTCTCCTACAAATACATTTCAAATATTCCGACAATGCTTTCTGCCAACTTATTTTTAAATCAATTTATCCTTGGCATGGAATAGAGACTGAATTATTAAGCAATGGGATCAATAACATAGTATTAGATGTTGTGTATGTTCACATCAATTATAAGAGAATCATTCATGTTAATGTCGCGTGTCTCGCAATTCCCCTATTTTGTGTACTAAATTGTACACAAAATAGTTTAGTTTTAAGGACAATAGCTTGCAGTTTGTCAACATTTTATGAACGACTTTCTTAGCCTAGAATTAATTATATTGTTTTGTCTAAGTTTAGTCACATTCGAACCATGAAAGCAGGGCAGATTATTTGCAAATTGCTATTACAATTGGAAAAACTTGTAGGGTAAAGGGCAATTTTCTAATAAATGACCGGATTAAACAACGGGATTTTCGTTCATTCCGAGTCCGAGGCGTACAGTTTAAACGAAATATACACTGTCTGTGTGCGTCCAATAGACATAGGAAAAATGAGCATCAGAGCAAATAATTTAAAAAAATTGTAATTATTTGAAAAAATTTTGAATTTTAATATTTTTTTGCCTTACCGACTACACTTTCTTAAAGGCAATTACGTGAAGACGACCTTATCACTTTATTCTTCGTTTATTTTTCAATATACCATAATCACTTTTGTTTTTTTGAATAATGGCCTGACTGTTTTCTATCAAATTTTACACACAAAAATGTATTAATGCTTTATGCAACTTTTTAATGAATACCCTCTGGATGATAACTACGGACCTGCATTTTGAACATTCGGTCCCGCCGTGTAATATATAAGTATAGCAATTCACTTAAAAATATTAAAGTTGTCAGACAATTATTTGAATATTAACCAACTACCTGGAATCATACTGACTAATAACTAATAAGAAATTATAATTTCAATAATGAAGAACATAAACAAGAAATTTAAAAATTGATATTAAAATAACAAATGTATTTAGCAACTGTATCCAAAAAAACTAGTATGTACTTATTAAAAGTATAGAGTAACTAGAAATAAAACACAGCTGCATTACACAAATAAAAAAATGTAAAATCTTATTACTTTTAAGGACATTTTTTAAGACGAAAAACACGCACATAAAATATATCATATATATAGCAAATCTTGCGAAACTTAAAATATAATCTGGAAATAGTCTGATATTATCAGAGTTCATTGAACAAACAGATATTTTATTCCCAATAAATGCCGAATCATCGTCAGGATGTGCTGCAAAAACGTGTCGGTTTTCGAGACTAAAATATTTCATCGAGCATTATTGATGCTTTTTGGAATATAATGTTATAATTATATGTACCTATTTGAGGTATTTTCGTCTCAGTTATCCCATTTTTTTAAATAGCCTTAAACACGAGATTACATAAGTTTTTAAAATACGGTAACATTTTTAGGATAAGGTAAGTCCATATGGTTTTAATAAAGGAAATAAACTCAAAAAAACATTTTTTGCTTTAGGGAAAAAGTAATGTATGAAAGAATGATTTTGCGATCACATAAGATCTACTAACTATGGCGATCGACTACTTGAACAGAAAATTCATTAAGAAGAAACGTAGACCAATTATTAGCTTCATAATAGTTTTAAATTTTCCAGAATTTTTCAGTTTTCGCCAGGTTACTCTTTCTTCTATATGCTCACTTTTCTTAATCTTAATTCCTTCAGTCTCCCTGGATGGCCAGTCAAAAATGCGAGTGCAAGCTTTAAAATCACAAGTTTACCAAAAGTGGGATGTAATAAGGACGGCACTTATTACATCTTATTGGCTCCCTAAAGTGTCTTCATTCCTTAATGTATTAAAATTTTGCAGTCATTTTTCCATTTCCGAAATGGTCAATAGAAAACTGAAGTTAGCGCTAGAGCCAATTTCAGTSGTAAAATTTAAACAAAAATATATATTGGTGTTTGTGGACCAAAAAAGCGTTTGAACCATTGGGCCAGTTTTACCAAAACAGCGGAAAACTAAAAAAAATGGAACGGAAAAACGGAAAACTAAAACGTACAATTTTATTTTTCTTCTGATAAGTGTGTGATTTAATTAACTACCCAGCGGTGTGAAAATAAGACAGGTAGAAATATGTATTCCCGAGATATAAACAAAGGGGGGTAGTTATGTTTGAAAATTGGCTAAATCGTGTTCCTTTTTATGTAAAATTTCACTTTTCCAGGGGAAATCTGCTACTATTTTATCACTGAAGTTCGAGCTACTGAATCGACTCTCCGATTCTCTATTCAAGGGTAGAAAAACATCAGTACTAAAGAAATAAGCAAAAAAGTGGCCTCATGTTTCAGCCGATCGTACAATTTTATAAAACCACACAACACTTCGTAATTTCAATTTATGTGTGAAAACTACCCATTTCCCTTCGTGATTCACTCGATTAATGCATTATTTAATGCTCTATCCAGTGGGGTAGAAATAAGCTCGCTGACAATTTTTTCTTGCAAAATGACGAAACAAGTGGCGTCATGTTTGAAAAATGACTAAATCGTGTTTCTGCTTCCTTTTTATGTAAAATTTCACTTGTTCCATTCACAAGGGAAATCTGTTACTATTTTAAAAGTCAAATTCCAGCTACTGAATGGAGTGTCTAATTCTCTGTTCAAGGGCACAACTTTTTTTTAACTCCTTTTATTTGTTTACAATCTGTCCTGAGACAATAAGTAAAAATGTTAACATAAGAAATAACATGTGAGTGTTCACTCATTAGTAAAGCACTCTTACAAGCATGATCACTTATTTACAAAACATTTAAATTGAGTGAACAATAGACTAGTTAAGTAATTCTAAAAATTTACTACAAGTTGAACAAGTTCCTGCGTTTCCGAAAACGAGACACCACATTAGTATTATTAAGTAACTCTTTTGCTAATTCATTTGGATGTTTCGATAATCTGTTTTTGTATTTTTTAAAGTAGTTTATTATTTCTTCTTTCCCTGTAATAATTTGAAGGTCTTTTCTGATAATTTCATTGGGTACGAACTATGTTTCTTAGTGTTTTGGATTGAAAACGTTCCATTATTTCAATGTTTGAGTCTGCTGCAGAGCCCCATAATTGGATTCCATACGTCCAGATCGGTTTCATTATGCATTTGTAAGGCTTGCTCTCAAGAGCCAAAAACCGAAAAATACCAAAAAGGCATTGTCACGTTTATCTCAATGACGCAATTTTTCCTAAACTGCGTCAAGCTAAAAATTCAAGGAAATTTCGCTGTTTGAGTGAAAATTGCGAATATTTTTAACCAGTTCTGTACAACGGCTAAATTTGTTACTGAATTATAAACAAAACGGTGGCGTCACGTCTGAAAAAACGGTCCTCCCTTGTATCTCCTCTTGCGTGAAATTCCGATTTCGGTTAGTGTATGAAAACTGTGTTTCAAAAAATTCCTAACTTGTGTTCCAAATTGGGATTTTCATTCTCTACTCACTGGTAGTCACACGAGCACTGTAGCTTTAATGGTTCTTAAGAAATTACCAACAAAGTCGCCTCAAGTTTTAGCCGATAGTCAAATTTAACTAAAAACTCGTTGAAATTTTGTTTATGTGTGAAAACTGCCAAGTGGTGTGATCTCGATAAGAAATGACCGTGCTGACTCAATTTGTTCTTGAGAATGAGAAAAACCGTCATGTTTGAGTCGATGGTACAAATTTATAAAACCGCACAAAACTTTTAACGTGTGAGAACTGTGTACTAATGAATGTATTTATAATTATATTTTCCTATTGTGGAAATAGTTGCTCAAATGCCTGACAAATTTATGATAATTAAATATTATTAGTAGACACAATCACTCGCAAGATAAAAATGCAACAAGTCTTTGGACATACAAAACTATTGTTTCTCCATATTTAGTCTGCATTTTCATCTGTTAAAAGCATATACCCTTTCATTTATTTTCGGGGCTAATTCATAAACAAGCTTTATCTTTTAAAAAAATCATCCCAAACATATATGTGGTATAAATCTATCTTTCATCAAATTCCCTTGAAACAAATTAATTCCCAATAAAAAAGGTCAACAAACCAAAATTGGACTGTTGAAGAATTAAATCACACCCAGTGAAAGCTGAACATGAGGGCCCACTTTACGTAACACTTTACATTCACGAGTCATCAAGCACGGGAGGTTGTTACTGGCATTTGCTCTAGAAAAAAAATCAATCTTGCGAGCTCTCCAGCCCAAAAATTTGCCTATTCATGTAGTTTAGTTAAATCTTCCCATCTATAGATCTATTGGGTGAACCTAATATGGAACTCACTAGATATATTCAGATAAATTACCATTTGGAATATTTCCGGATTTAAAAAATAAGATGAAGTTTTTTGCAAGTTGGGGATCAAACTTTGGAACTCACTTACCTGTTTTTTTGGATACTTAGTAACTCGAGGAGGTTGGTCAGCGAAACAGTTCAATAGAAACATCAATAAAACCAAAGGATAAAATATTAAGTAGCTGACATACTGGTAATAAGACCGGGGGGCACCTTCTCTCTGCACTGTGCGAATTTCGGTTCGAAATTGTGCCGCCCCAAAAAGGGACAACAGGAACCAGAAGAGAAAAAGAAGTCCGGATGTTCGGATCCCATATTTCTTGTTGTAGTAGACGAGTAAGCCTGTGAGCAACTGAAAAAAAAAGATAAATTTGTAAAAATATCAAATAAAGAAATTGTAGACGAGTATCAATGACAACGTAAAACAGAACAACAAAACGAATCAAAGGTCGGAATCTACTCTCACTAAAAAGCCAAAAACCATGACCTTTCATGGCTTGTTTCCAATATACGATGATTTTTTGCTTTTTTATTTACAATACCACAGCAGTGATGCATTTGAGTGAACAATTATAGATCAAAACTGGAGGATGATAGTAATTAGCATTGGTTGACGCTGTTAATTAGAAATTTACATCAATTTTTTTACATGATTCGTCTGGTTTCATTGTGAGTAAACAAAAATTATAATATAATAACAATCTCTATTTTTATCGAAAAGGCTTTTGACCAAATCGGTCTTTCTGCCCAACAATTTATATTTTTAGGGTAAAACTGCTTTTTCCAAAATCAATCAAACTTCTCCTACAAATACATTTCAAATATTCCGACAATGCTTTCTGCCAACTTATTTTTAAATCAATTTATCCTTGGCATGGAATAGAGACTGAATTATTAAGCAATGGGATCAATAACATAGTATTAGATGTTGTGTATGTTCACATCAATTATAAGAGAATCATTCATGTTAATGTCGCGTGTCTCGCAATTCCCCTATTTTGTGTACTAAATTGTACACAAAATAGTTTAGTTTTAAGGACAATAGCTTGCAGTTTGTCAACATTTTATGAACGACTTTCTTAGCCTAGAATTAATTATATTGTTTTGTCTAAGTTTAGTCACATTCGAACCATGAAAGCAGGGCAGATTATTTGCAAATTGCTATTACAATTGGAAAAACTTGTAGGGTAAAGGGCAATTTTCTAATAAATGACCGGATTAAACAACGGGATTTTCGTTCATTCCGAGTCCGAGGCGTACAGTTTAAACGAAATATACACTGTCTGTGTGCGTCCAATAGACATAGGAAAAATGAGCATCAGAGCAAATAATTTAAAAAAATTGTAATTATTTGAAAAAATTTTGAATTTTAATATTTTTTTGCCTTACCGACTACACTTTCTTAAAGGCAATTACGTGAAGACGACCTTATCACTTTATTCTTCGTTTATTTTTCAATATACCATAATCACTTTTGTTTTTTTGAATAATGGCCTGACTGTTTTCTATCAAATTTTACACACAAAAATGTATTAATGCTTTATGCAACTTTTTAATGAATACCCTCTGGATGATAACTACGGACCTGCATTTTGAACATTCGGTCCCGCCGTGTAATATATAAGTATAGCAATTCACTTAAAAATATTAAAGTTGTCAGACAATTATTTGAATATTAACCAACTACCTGGAATCATACTGACTAATAACTAATAAGAAATTATAATTTCAATAATGAAGAACATAAACAAGAAATTTAAAAATTGATATTAAAATAACAAATGTATTTAGCAACTGTATCCAAAAAAACTAGTATGTACTTATTAAAAGTATAGAGTAACTAGAAATAAAACACAGCTGCATTACACAAATAAAAAAATGTAAAATCTTATTACTTTTAAGGACATTTTTTAAGACGAAAAACACGCACATAAAATATATCATATATATAGCAAATCTTGCGAAACTTAAAATATAATCTGGAAATAGTCTGATATTATCAGAGTTCATTGAACAAACAGATATTTTATTCCCAATAAATGCCGAATCATCGTCAGGATGTGCTGCAAAAACGTGTCGGTTTTCGAGACTAAAATATTTCATCGAGCATTATTGATGCTTTTTGGAATATAATGTTATAATTATATGTACCTATTTGAGGTATTTTCGTCTCAGTTATCCCATTTTTTTAAATAGCCTTAAACACGAGATTACATAAGTTTTTAAAATACGGTAACATTTTTAGGATAAGGTAAGTCCATATGGTTTTAATAAAGGAAATAAACTCAAAAAAACATTTTTTGCTTTAGGGAAAAAGTAATGTATGAAAGAATGATTTCGCGATCACATAAGATCTACTAACTATGGCGATCGACTACTTGAACAGAAAATTCATTAAGAAGAAACGTAGACCAATTATTAGCTTCATAATAGTTTTAAATTTTCCAGAATTTTTCAGTTTTCGCCAGGTTACTCTTTCTTCTATATGCTCACTTTTCTTAATCTTAATTCCTTCAATCCTTCAATTTTAAGGTATTTTCAGCAAAAAATTATGAAATGAATTTTGAATCGGCCGTCGCTTTGTAAAAATTCTCAAATTAAATTCCTTTCCAGCTACCAATTTGGAACAAAAATCACATCATTTTTCATCAAGAAACGAACAGAATAAGCGAAAGTTTATAACAGATTATTTGGAAATTTCGTCACCTCCATACCTCTGAAGACTGTAGAATTTGTTAAAAAATGGGGTTTTTTAGTTTTGACTGATTTTTTTTTGCTTTACTTTCTACTCAAAAACGCTCTATTTTGTAGAGTTTCACTTAACAAAACTGACGATCTGGAGGTCATGATTATCTTGAAAAAAACACCAGAGCAAAAGTTTCAAAAAATAATTTGGAAAATTCGCTTAAAGTTCCTTTCAATTATCGGGTCATTCCAGTTTTACAAAATTACATGACTTTTTTTAGTTGTTTCAACAAAGTATTCAAACGTTACTCAGAAAAAATGTTGATGATCTTTTTTTTAGATGTGAAAATTCCAGTCTCCGGTCTCCTAAAGCTTTAATAAATGAGTTATAACTCGTTAACTCAGAGAGCGGCAACAAGCCAATAACGCAACCCAACACAGTGTTACCCAGGCCTACCAATGACCCACACAATAAAAATCCTCATTGAAAACTACATAAAAAAGCCTTTGGTCCTCGACTTTGTAGACTTCGAAAAAGCTGTCAAGCCTTCGTTGACTGCAGAATAAGATGAAGCTGGAGAAACTCTTTAACTTGAGAATGCCCCATTCAGTTATTTGATTTCACAAATTAGGAAGTATCGGAATGTAAAAATTAAATCATGGTTATGGAGGACGTTTCTAGTAGAAGATACCCCAGAGGATAATTTCCAATCATTAGCATGCCAAATTCTTTAGGATTCCCATTTACTGCCGAGTTTTATAACTTTAGCGTATCACGTTTTATCAGAAGCAATTTTCTTGGAATGTTAATACCCTTTTTTAGTCTAGAAGCTTGTAGAGCGCCACTAGCCTGCTTTCAGGTTCGAAAAATTACAGGATGTTAACAAGTAACTTAATTTTGAAACCGTAACTGTGGACATACTTTCTTAACATATCGGCATGCTAAAACGCGTAGTTTAGAGGTCTACAAGGTAAATTAAGGGCAACATTGTATGTCAATCCTCGTACTTTGCATTAAACGCTTCTAGAGGACGTAATATTTGTGTATCCGGTAGGGGTACATTTAGCATAAAATATATTTTAAGGTAGACTCTTTTTACTGTAAGTTAAGGAACCAAACTAGCCTACACATCACACGTAGCAGGATACCAGTCAGCACCTACGTGAGCATCCGTACCAGCAACCAACTCAACATTATTTTGCTATTTAAACCAATGTATCATTTAAAATTCGTCTTTATTCTCCAAGTTGTCTTGCGTTTAATAAAGAACCTGTACTCGTGTTTTTTTTAAGTATTATTTTCTTGGCTCGAATCTAAGTTGCAGTAGTTTGTAAGCGATTGTCGGGTCTCAACTTCAATCAATAGGTGATAAATTGGGGTCTATTGATGGCCAATAGGAGGCGAATATATTGCGTTTTCCAAAGGCAATTTTAAGACATAGAAGACTTTTTATAGAATTTTGCTGTGGTCGTACAACAATCAAAGCAAAAAGTACATTTTAATGTAGTTTCTATTTAAGGTAGCCGCAATCATGATGAACGCGTTATTACTTAATGACAAAAGAAGACAATGATTTTGCGTTTTGCTTCCCTAAGGAGCATCGCAACGCTCTCAGATGGAAAAAAGGGAAAGAATATTTACTGGGAACCAAAGATACCCGAAAATGACAAAAACACAAATAGAAATAGAAAACAGAAAATTCACAGAAACTGCCAGCACTCGCCAAGAAAACAAATCAATAAGTAATTATAATATGTTTTCATAAATGTGTAAAAAATGAACGAGCCACATTTTCGCAAAAAAAACTCCAACAAGTAAAGTTGTTAAAAACGAAATTATCTTTAAGCTGACCAGATTGTAAACTTCCAGATCCTGATAAATCAGAAAATTCCCCATTTTTAGTGGGGTGTTTCGGAGTAAAAGGTATTAAATCAGACAAAAGACAGTGTGAATTTAAAACTTGTAGTGCTTGTATTGCAAAAAAATAACAACTGCAAGTAAAATTAGGCTTAGATTTTCTATATAGGTACCTATTTGGTAACTTTTCTAGTCTTATTAAAGCTCTGTGTGAGAGTTCCTAGAACAAATGAAGTTTAAGTGCAAACAGAAATGTACTTACAAAGCAGGCAAACTTGACGACAGGCTGGCAGATATCCACACTAGGCACAAACTGTGAACTTGATTTGTGTAAACTTGTAATAAAGTCACTGATCATTAAGATACATAGGGCTGCAGTCACAAAAACTTTCGAACTGTTCAGCAAATTCCATGGAATGTCTCTTCTGGTACTATTGGTGATATAGAAAATCTCCAGGCCGGTAAAAAGGCAGAGAAACAAACAGGGGACCCACACGAGAACGGTTTTTTCAAAGCATATCGTGAAGTCTGGATCATCGGTCTGCCAGGTCAGGGAGGTGTTCTGCAAGTAAATAAATAGGGCTGTAATTACAGTCTGACTGTCAAGAAGTGGATATGATTCAGGTCAGATGTAAGGGTGGAAATAGGGCTTACCCAAAATTCGGAACCACAGAACTGATCCATTGAAGTTTTCTTTCATGTACAGGGGGTTTAATGAAATGAGCCAGACCCTGCTACCTTTAACAGACGGCCGGCACTGAACACTTTCAACAGTAAAATGTGTGATGAATATTTTATCTACACTACTGGCCCGGTAGATCTACGTCCTTGGATAGCTAGAAAACATCTGATTTTTCAGCCTTTCACAATATTGCTTAATTCTATAATTTATTAGAACTGAGCGATTTCATAGTCAATCAGCTGGCCAATTGTCAACTCAGGGATAAATTAAAGATGCTTTTGGTGGGGGGAAGCGCAGCCTTGCCAGTGCAAACTCTCAAGCATCATTTTCTATTCTTCAGTGGCGTAACGCTGTTTTTTTGCTTATTCAGCTCCTTTTGTATAAGGAGTTGGAATAAACTCGGCAGGATCAATCTATTAGCTGCAGTTTTATAATGCAATTTTACAAATTGGCCCTCAGTTTTCGCTATTCAGGCTGTTCAATAGACTCTTCACTGATTGGACTATTTCCAACAGATGTAGTGGTTGGAGGGTTTTCCAGTTCAATAATTCAAATTTGTTGCAAATTTCGCTCTTACTTCTAGCCGGCTCTAGTCTTTCCAGCTGTTCAAGCAATATTTATTTTTATAGTTCAAAGTACCGTGTTTCTTTGGTCTGGGTTATATTTTCTGATGTTTTCTACAGAAAAAAGTGTTCTTGGTGAAAGTCTGTATCTGGCAGGGTTTCTAGAACTAGAAAACGAAGAGAAACTAAAATTTGTATGATTTTCATCTTGCTTAACCAACACAAGAAACGATCAGAACTCCCGAAATAAATTAATTTGAACTACTTCTTCAACTGAAGAGTATAAAAAGTAGAATCAACTTCTATTTTTCATGCACTACATTTTTCTCAGCGTATGGAAGAAGTTGCATGGTTTGCTACTTCCAAAAATATTTTATTCATTTAAGTGAGATTAAAATAATTCAGCAAAGTTACTGAAGTTTCAATACTTTTGTGATACTACTTAAAAACCATTCTCGAGTGGCAGTAGTAAACTAGTGAAGAAACTTTTAGATTCAACCAAGATGTTTTCTAAACTTTATCACCTGGTTTAGCACACGCGACGGCTCAAATAAAAAAATGACTTCATGACATCCATATTTATTTTAATCAAAAAATTGGTAGTTAAGCGATTGATTTTATGCTGCAATCTGTACGGTTGTGGCATCCGCATTTATTTTGAGGACACCCTGTACCTAAGGGGTTTTCAGGGGTAGTGAAAGAGCACACAACATGGATGTTTGAGCAATATACATATTTCCGCAAACGCAGACTTTTTGAGGTACAGGGTGTTAAAATTTTAATGTGTTTGCTCTGACAAAATTCTCCCTCTAACAGCTCGTTTCAGCGAGAAAAAATAGCCATCGTTCTAATATTTGAAACATGACATTAGCGAGTTCTTTTGTGAATAACTCGAAAAGTTTGGAAGATACGAAAGGAATGGAAGAGATAAAAAAAAGTTTATAAATTGAACAGGAAGATTAGGAAAAATATTGATGGATTTCAGAGATGCACCACCAACAGGTCAGGTTGATAAAAGGAGACGAAACCTTAAAAATACACCCTGTACATTCTCATAATCGTTTGAGATTTCGAACAGTGTAGACTCCAGAGTGTTACATAGGATTTGAGTCAAATAACTGAAAAACTTCTAACGCCCGAATGGAAATATGGAAGAAAACTTCCAATATTACAGCCTGTACCTCAAAAGCGCTACGGTTTTGGGTATATAAGGAACAAATGTTTGTTTTGGGTTTTCCTACCTCCCGTAAAGATTTACCGGTGTGTTTATGGAACACCCGATATAAAAATAAAATATACAGGGTGTCGCAATAAGGATGGTAAGCGGCTGTATCTTGGAAAGTATGTGCTGTAGAGTGATCGAAAAAAAATTTTCATAACAAACTTGAAGAAAACAATTTGCTGGAAATTATTTTGAAATTTCTCAGATGACCACTAAATGGGATAATTGCAAATGGTATTTTAAAAAGTCGATTTTATACAGAAATTGTCCCTACGAGTGAAACATCTCGTAAGGTTGGTCAAATGATCATAAAAAACCGTACTACTTTCCTTATGATTTTTTTTCCTAACTTGTCAAATAAAGCGTGGGGGGAGAGTCAAACCGCTTAATTAAAAGAAACCTGTAACTCCGAAACGGCTTTACCGATTTCAAAGTTTTTACTATCAATTGAAAGAGCAATAAAAACTCTACAATATGTGATGTAAAAGCATTTTTATTTCATTTTCGAAAAATCCGCTGTTAGAAAAAATGAACTAAACCGCAAAAACCGCATCTCAAAATAATTTCTGGAATCGATTTAATACTTGAAAATAATACAGGTTGCCTAATTCAAATAATTAAAGTAGGCTTTGGGAGAAAAAATGTTGTTTTATTTTTCCAACTATTTTCAAACTTAGATGTTTCACTTATCTTTTGACTAAACTTACTAGATGTTTCACTTATAGGGACAATTTCTGCATAAACTCGACTTTTTAAAATACCGTTTGGAATTACGCCATCTAGTGGTGATTTGAGAAAATTAAAAATAATTTTCAGCAAATTATTTTCGTCAAGTTTGTTATCAAATTTTTTTTCCGATCACTCTACAACACATACTTTCCAAGATACAGCCGCTTACCATCCTTATTGCGGCACCCTGTATATAAAATAAATATAATATTTTTTTCTCTCTCTCTCTTTCTTTAATTTTCCTCAAAACCCACTAGTTCCATTTCGCAGAACAGCAAAAATGTAACTCTGTGCTTTCATGAAAGTTAGTACTTGTAAGATTGGAAAACATCTAGATTTTAAACAAACAAACATTAAACAAGTAACTTGTTTATTAGCCTTGACCTCCGCCACTGTTAGAACGAATTCTGGACAAACTCGGCAACCCGGCAACGACCTTCTTGAAGCGCTTAGCGGTAGCGCCAAACTGCATAATTTTTGATGTACAATCAAAATTTGCTTGCTGAAACTTTCAACTCAAAAAAAACGAGTTTAATTTTCACAACAATAAACGTGCACATCCGATTATAATGTTCTTGGGTTACAATAATCGACTGCTCGAATCCCTGTTTTAGCAGTTTTCTTACCATCATGCCAAAAACTTCAAAACTGTCAACATATTGGCAACGATGTACCAAATTTATTTTGCTGCACAAAGGTGTCCCGTCAATGGTGTTCTGTTGCTGCCATTTGAGAAAAGTTTTATTTGAATTATTTCGCATTAAATCCGATTTAGGATGGCTGAGTGCATAGACGATTTGTTCGAATGCTTCGAAAAACCTGAAGACGATCTGCCTATTGAGAAAGAGGCCGATGCGACCACGTTAAATGAGAGCGTTTCATCTAGGTTTGTAGGGTCTTTTCTAACCTGAAAATGTTTATATTTTTTCTCCTTGAAGCCCTCAACAATCCACCCCAACTTCTTGCAAACGGGAATATGACGGGGTGGAAGAAGTTTGTGTCAAGAAGATTAAGACCGAAGAAGTGAACGTTGATGATATCAAGTGAGTATCACATTTGTCTCTAACATGGGACTCTACTGGCCTTACACTTAATAAAAAAAAGGGGTGTTAAATTAGGTAGTTAAATGGGAACAGTTGTCGATTGAGTATTGGCGAAACGTGTGGCAAATTGTTCATTTAATTAGGCGTCAAATCATAGAGAGTGGTCCTCACTTGATACCTACCGCCCTGCAACCAATCTCAATATTTTCTGAAGCAAAACGTGAAGTTCTTCAAGGATTCAATCAAAACTGCCTATAGGCAATTCATTCGAATTTTTTCCAGAAAACAAAACGTATTTGCTCATTAAAGTTGTATAATCTAAATGCAGGAGTCTTGATCTTAACTTTAGAGCTTGCACTTTGAGCTGTTGTCCTTGGTTAATTATTGTTCGTCCCAAACAGCTTCGAGGAATTGAAGAACAGAATAATAGTCCATAGCATTGATACTTTGGACTCTTGCACTCATGAAGTTGCATGTCCACCTGGTCAGCCGTATGCTCCTTTGGAACCTCGTACTGGAGAGCCAGCAAAAGTATACCCATTCACATTGGACCCTTTCCAAAAAGAGTCCATTTTATGTGTGGATAACAACCAATCAGTTTTGGTGTCAGCTCATACGTCTGCAGGCAAAACTGTAATAGCTGAGTAAGTGATTTTTTGATTGGCTCTAGCAGCAAGTTTCGATTAAAGCCGGGACAATTAAAGCACAATTCAATGGCCACTTAGTAACCAGCATATCAATAGATGCAAATTTAAAAACTTATTCATTATCGTTTGTAGATACGCTGTTGCGAAGTCGCTAATAAATAAACAGAGAGTTATTTACACGACTCCAATTAAAGCGTTATCGAATCAGAAATATCGTGAGTTTCTGGAAGAATTTAAGGATGTAGGTCTAGTCACAGGGGATGTTACCATTAATCCTAGTGCATCGTGTCTTATTATGACCACAGAGGTATGTGCAAAAGAGTTACGCATTAGCGGCAATTGCTTGAAAGTAGTGAGTTTTTCGGGCTTTTCTTCACCGATCGTCATTCATCAGTGCAGAAAACTGCAGGCATTAATTTTGGTATTATACCTATGCTATTTCAATACCCTCTAGGCGCTTATTCATATCTTTGAACCGCACTTGGTTTTTTTACTTCGCTTTTAGATCTTACGAAACATGCTGTATAGAGGTTCAGAAATAATGCGCGAAGTAGGTTGGGTGATATTTGACGAGATTCATTACATGCGAGACAAAGAGCGTGGTGTGGTCTGGGAAGAAACACTAATTTTACTGCCACACAATGTTCATTTTGTGTTTCTATCGGCTACAATTCCGAATGCTAGACAGTTTGTGGAATGGGTAGCGCATTTGCATCAGCAGCCATGCCATGTGGTTTACACTGAGTATCGACCCACACCGTTACAGCATTTCATTTATCCTGCCGGCGGATCTGGTATTCATATGGTTGTGGATGAATCGGTAAGCTACTTGTCGTCATATCGACCAGGCCTTTGCTTTAAGCGTATTTTGTGGATGTTAAGGGAGTTTTTAAAGACGACAGTTTTAATGCTGCTATGGCGGTTTTGCAAAATGCTGGAGATGCCGCGAAAGGGGATTTAAAAGGCCGGAAGGGAGGCATTGCTGGCAAAGATCCGACCCAATCTGATATATTCAAGGTGGTAAAGATGATTATGGAGCGGAATTTCGCGCCCGTAATTGTCTTCAGTTTCAGTAAAAAGGACTGCGAATTATATGCGATGCAAATGACAAAACTCGATTTTAACACCTGTGAGTTACTAGATGATTTAAAAAACTATCCTTTTCTTGAAATGCCACCATTTCCAGCCGCAGAAAAGCAACTAGTAGACGAAGTATTTAAAAACGCTATGGATGTGCTGTCTGACGAAGACAAAAATTTGCCACAGGTTGAAAATATCCTTCCGCTCCTTCGCAGAGGAATAGGCATCCATCACGGAGGTTTATTGCCCATATTGAAGGAAACGATCGAAATCATGTTTGGCGAAGGATTGATCAAAGCCCTCTTTGCCACAGAAACTTTCTCCATGGGCTTGAACATGCCCGCCAGAACTGTTCTGTTTACTGGCATGAAAAAGTTCGATGGACAAGAAATGCGATGGGTACAAAGAGGCATATTTATCCAAACAACCCTTTGAGTAACTGCTTTTTCAGATAACTTCTGGGGAATACATTCAAATGTCTGGAAGAGCAGGCAGAAGAGGTTTGGATGACAAAGGTATAGTAATGTTGATGGTGGACGAAAAAGTACCTCCATCTGTCGGTAGAGACATTGTGAAGGGATTGCCAGATCCAATAAACTCAGCTTTCCATTTAACGTACAATATGGTTCTAAACTTGCTGCGAGTCGAAGAAATCAACCCGGAATACATGTTGGAAAGGTCATTTTTTCAGTTTCAGAACCAAACAAATATTCCCATATTACATGGAAGTAAGCATTAATTGCATGGTAGTTGGACTGTAATTTGTTGTAAATTTTTATTGTTTTTTTGTAGATTATCTGGCAAAGTTGGCAGAATATAACACGTTTGAAGTCAAAATGGAAGATGAAATTTCGGTCTACTATGCAATAAGGCGGGAGCTGGACTTTTTAGGGGCTAAGTTTAGAAAGTATATTACAATGCCCAAATATCTTATCCCATATATGCAACCTGGTCGGCTTATTAAGGTAATGTATTTTTAAAAACAGTTTAAAAGTTCTAAATGCAAATCTAAAAAACTGTTTTATAATAAAATTTAGATTTTAGACCTTGAGGAATATTTATCTTAATTAAGTGGATTGAAACAATTAGGTCAACTATAATTTCATAACACGTTTAGATCAAATCTCAAGATGCTGAGTACGACTGGGGTGCTATTGTCAACTTTAAAAAGTCTCAAGAAATCCAAACTTCACGAGTCGGAGGTAGAGTTAAATCAAAAGGAACGACCAAAGTTCTTCTTGATGTTCTCCTGCACGTCATCCCCGATGATGGTGACTCTAAGGATAACACTATTCCGAAGCCCTGTTTGGATAGTGAGGTGAGATTGGTTCTTGTGACTTTAAATGCTGTATTTTGAATAATTCGTTCATGAGTCAGAGATATTTGACTGTTGATAATGTTAACATTTCTGAGAGTTCCTCGAGCTCTTTCCAACTTCCGAGAGTTCCTTGAAACGTTGCGCCTATCAACCAAAAATTTATTGCAGAAAGGAGAAGTCGAAATAGTGTGTGTCGATTCGCAATTTGTAACGCACATTTCGCAAGTGCGTCTTTTATGCCCTCCCGATTTGAGGTCCAAAGATGACCGAAAAAGCATGTTCAAAGCAATCAAGGAAGTTAAAAAGCGATTTCCTGATGGTCCTCCATTGCTAAATCCGGTTAAAGACATGAAGATTCAAGACTCTGAATTTTTAGACGTTGTTAAAAAAATTGAAATCATGGAGAAAAAGTAAGCTATTTTTATAGGATATTGAACCGTAGTGTTTTTGATAAAGTCTAATTTTTTATGTAATTATTAACGATGTTTAGACTTTACGACCATCCTCTACATAAAAGCGAGTTGCTGGATACCGAATACGACAAGTATGAAAAGAAAATAATTGTAGAAGTGCAATTGGACGAAGCTAAACGAAAACTATTGGAGGCTAAATCAGTTTTACAACTTGACGAATTAAAGTACCGGAAAAGGGTGCTAAGGCGATTGGGATATTGTTCCAATGCGGATGTGATCCAGTTGAAAGGCCGAGTAGCCTGCGAGTTAAGCAGGTAAATCAAGAGTTTCACAATGTTTTTTTATAACTGATGTTCCTCTTTTACTTGTTTTACAGTGCTGATGAATTGTTGATCACCGAAATGTTGTTCAACGGTCTTTTCGTAAATTTGACTCCTCATCAAGCGTGTGCTTTACTGAGTTGCTTTGTCTGCGACGAAAGAAGCAACGAAGCCCCCAAACTGTCAGAAGAATTGTCGGGACTTCTGAGGCAAATGCAGGTAAGAGTTTTAATTTTTACTGCGGGTTAGTCAAATTTTCTGGCTATTAAGTACTAGGCTTCGCTAAGGCGTCAATGTTTGAAATTTTTTTATGATATTTAAGAATTATTTTCGCGTTAATCTGAGTGACTAGACATTTTGTTACAATAGGAAATGCAAGTTTGATTTTTTCGATTTGGATGTCAGTCTCGCAATAATGTAAATTTTCGATAATTGACTCAATTGTACATTAAAAATAATTTGATCAGTCAACTGCACTAATCTAACCAGTTGTCTCTGGATGGTGTTGCTAATATTCGGTATATTTTTGGTAGGATTTGGCTCGGAGAATAGCGAAAGTAAGCACAGAAGCGCGATTACCGATTGATGAAAGTAAATACGTGGAGCAGTTTAAACCGTTCCTAATGGATATAGTATTTGCGTGGTGTAACGGAGCGTCTTTTGCTCGATTATGCGGTATGACCGAAATCTTTGAGGGGTCCATTGTGAGATGCATGCGACGTTTGGAAGAATTATTAAGGCAAATGGTGCAGGCCTCAAAAACTATCGGCAATGTCGAATTGGAAGACAAGTTCAATCATGCCATTAAGCTAATTAAGAGGGATATAGTGTTTTCATCTAGCTTGTACTTATAGTGAAGTTTACATCGGTTAAATGTGGGCAAAATTTGCAGTTTTATTTTGAATATATGAATTGTTCTTTTACAGTGGCTAATAGTTTAATTTCTACCTCATTAGTTTTAGTTGTTTGTTTCGATTTTTGGAAAGAAAGCTATATATTATCGATAATTATTGATTACTACAGTTATTAAGAATGTTTCACAATGGGTTTTTCGACTTTTTAATACGGGAATTTGTTTTTGTATTGAAATTAGTTTCTATAAAAGTTGCCCACGCATTCTAATTTAATATTCGTTATGAAACATTTGAAGCAAAGAAATATTAAGGTGAAGCAAGCAGTTAAATGTGAATGGATACTTAGTAGTAAAGATACTGCAAACAATTACATAGTTTGTCTTTTTTACTGCTGCTTTTTGAATATGCGCGAAATTTGAAATTCTTAAAAATGAATTATCTAAAAGAACTGTTTTTTTATTTCATTGTCTTGCTCTGCTTTTAATTTGATGTATTCAATTGGATTGTTGATGATCTTTTTCGACATTAATTTGAATTTAACTTTCAAACTCGGAATAACTGTAGACATTGGTAGGTATCCCGTTAACGCTATTACTTTCAGCATTTCCAGTGGTCTAAAAATATAACGGCTGCTTTTTGAAGATAGGGAGACAAGTCGGAAATCTGCAGGTAATATTGAACCCTAATGTAAACTAATTCGTAGGTCTTAGGAGTTTGGAAATAACTTTTCAACGGGCTCTTGTCTAGAATTTTATAACTTTTGCTTAATATTTATTCGCTTCCATTGAGATTTCAAACTGCTATGACATTTCCAATATCAATTAAGAGGTATTGTGTTGTTTAATAAAACTTTACCTCGTATATCATTACAATGTAAGTTAAATTGAGCATCGTGTGTTTTAAAGAATGTATTTGCTGTTAACTGGTCACTTTGATCAGCAGGCAAAACTGGTAAATTTATGGTTTCTTTGTTCGTGTTTTCTTTATGTTGTTTGTTTTGTCCCGGTGTCCTCCCTTTATATTACTCCTTATATTTTATTCATTGAAGCTATTCAAAATGTTCCACAGCATATCTATGTTTGGACCAAAGTCAATTTTTGAACGGCTATAGCAATTTATGAGGTCCAATTTCTAAGAATTCTAATTGTATTTTATTGTGGCTGCCTGCCCAACGATTCCTATAAACCTTAAAATGAAGCGCCCCATGCATTTGAGGGTTTTTCCTGTCACGAATGCTTAAATGTAAATTTTGGATTTTGGTAAACAAGTTGTATATACATATTTGAGTGAGTTTTTCTATCGGCCGACTTTTAGCAATATATTTTTTATAAACCTTAATGTCGTATAATTTATGACCGATATGGGCAGATCCAGAAAGGTTTGCCACTGTCACCTGTGAGTTAATTTAGATTTTTTTATAGAAATATGTATTGGTTTTTGTTATTAGATTCTGCTGTTTTTTTTTATTAGAATGTTTCATTTCCTATGTGTTTTATAGCAATATTGTCTCCTGCAGAAAGACCAGGTAATTTTCGGGATTATTTAAATATTTTGTTTTTTGTTTTAAGTATGTTGCAGCTACCTTCCTTCCCAGTTTGTGCCGCACTGTGCCGTCTTTGGTGATCTAGCCCTGTGGTAGCTTCGATAATCCCCAGGATTAGTTGACCAAGATGGCCAGTCGGGACTAGCCACGTGTATGGATGCTGTTCTGCTAAAGCAACTTTTGACTGTGATTTGTCGTTCTACAAACCATATCACAGCCATTAGTTACTTTTCCATTACAGTCACGACGCGTCCTTCTAACAACGGCAAAATTATTTTTTTTGTTAATTTTATCATTGCATGCTTTTTATGATTGATCTCGTTTTCAGCCTCGAGTCATATTTTCATCGGATGCTCGATTATAGTCGCATTGATTCCAAATTTGTGACTAGACCGAACATTCGAAGAAAGTCTGGTTTACACGTCGGATTTTGTACTGGGAGCAATTCATAGCACAGTGAATAGTGAATAATAGATAACTTGTTAGTTGCTGGATTGGCTTTAATGGTTTTTTTGATAATCCATAAAGCTTTTACAGCGATTAATGTTGGTATCTTAAACGACAATTTTAACAGAAACAAAAATTGTCTTGACGTGGAAAGAGTTCGCTGCAGAAAGTGCAATCGGAAATTTTTTGTATGATTTTTTGCTAAATACTAGACTAAGAGATATTTGTAAAATAAAGTTGAATTGAAAAAACGTGTTTATTTCTTTCATTTGAGTCCGAGAATTGTTTAAAAAAACGTTTTTATACAGTTGGACTCGGAGAAAATATATTCGAATTTTCATTGACAGTTTCTATAAAATAAGGTAAATAATATTTTCAGGTCGTTCTAGTTTTAACAAAGTTTCTATTAAGCAATTCTCTGTACGCAAAAATTACATTATTATTTAGTTAATATACTGACAATCTCCAGTTATTTTTTGTGGAAAATTTTAGAATATATTTTATTGGAACACTCGCCTCTTTAACCGCTTTGCAAAAATGTGTGGAAAATGTGATTTTTTGGTTTTGACTGATTTTTGTTTACTTTACCTTCTACTCAAAAACGCTCTATTTTCTAAAGAATACCCTCTCGGTGTATAGAAATCCGAAAACAACTGATTGGGCCTCTTACAAAGAGAACCTTAGGTTGCAGCTGGGGGACTCAACTGAGTGCTCAAGCAGCTCAACTGAGGCACATACTGTGCAGGAGTTAGAACTGATGGCGACTACCGTCACATCAGCAATAGAATCAGCCTACGAATCCGCATGCCCTCTGAAGTCGAAGAGACAAACGGGGACATCCAAATGGTGGAACCCGGGACTCTCAACGATGAGGGAAACGGTGAGGAAGCTATTTAACAGGGCCAAACGAAACGGGGCCTTCTGGGGTAAATACAAAACATCCCTGACTACATATGGCAACGCCATCAAAAAAGAAAAAGGGCTTCATGGAGGAAGGAATGCAAGGATATCGAAGATATTCCGAGCTACGCCAGACTCTATAAAGCACTCTCCAAAGAACCACAGCAAAAAGTGGGCTCCCTGATAAAACAACAGAAGAGGAGTCTCTGGAGCTTACGCTTAAGACTCACTTTCGTGGATCAATACTGGGAACAGGCAGAGAACAGGAGATACCGGTGATCTACAGGACGCGACAGCGTGCACTGAAAGAGCACTGGACTCTTGCCTCAAGCATGGTAAACCAGTCCAAAGTTAAGTGGGCCATGAGTTCCTTCAGACCATTTAAATCACCGGGAACAGATGGCCTAATGCCAGTTCTGCTACAACAGGGAA